GTAAGCAATGCTATTCCCACAACCTCACTCTCCCCGCAGTAATCGCAATGCCAGTTAATGTTGTCCACACGCGCAACTTTTCGCCTTCGTTGCTTGGCCAGTGTGCTCCAGAAGTGCATAGTCGGTGGGGGAACATAAGGTCAGCCGACAGCACTTGTTGTGCAATAAACAGATACCTTGGAACGGTTGACTGTCGCAAGCAGGCATCTTCAGGCTAGATGGAAGGATGCCTGGTGCTAGCATTCCTGAAGTGCAGAGCTGTGAACACTGTGTCTTATTCAGTAGGCCACTTAATTGATAACCTATTAGTACTCTGCCTCTTTGTGTGTAGTGACTCTTTCCTGGTAGCTTCTCTTTCTTGTATAATTTCATGCTCTGACTCTTGTAACTCTCTCTCTGGCTTTCCCTTCTTATGCCTCAGTCCAACTTCCTTTCTGTTGGAACTGCCCAGTACTCAGTGTTCATACGATTCTCCTCTCTTCTTGAACCCTTCCACTGGCTCACTTTTTCCCTTTGCATCCAACCCAAACCCAGGTTGTCCTTAACTTCTCTCCTTGCTACCCCAAAGTGTCTTCTGACAGTTTCATGCCTGGTTCACCTTTCCTGAATCCATCTATTATTGTTATTATGATTAATATTCTGCCATTTTTCCTTTCAAGGAATGCAAGATGGCTTACGTAGTTCTCCTCCTCCTCCTCTCAATCTTATCGTCATGATAGCAACCCTATGAAATAGGTTGGGCTGAGAGAGTGGCCCAAAGCCACCCAGTTGGCTCCATGGCTGTGTGAGGACTTGAACCCAGATCTCCCAAGTCTCCGTCCCACACTCGTAGCCACTGTGAAACACTGGATTGACAACATCTCCCATGGAGTAAGTGGTTTAACTGATCATCTGCATATACTTGCATACCAATAATCATACTGATGAAAAGAGCATTTAGGGCCCAGTCCTATGGAGATACACATGCGCCCTCTAACTACATAGGGGGAGGAATGGGAAAGGCCATCTTCATATTCTCTGCATTTTCCCTAGGCGGCCGGTCAGAACTCTGATCTCGAACTCCAAGGTTGGAGTGTAGTCTCTGATCCTGGCTATGGGAATTTTGTAAAAAAGGCTCTTCAGAAAATGCCTGAGGCCATAAGGGCTGCTCTTTTAATCTTAAAATGATGCACGAAGATGTTGCAGAGAACATAATAGAAGAAGAGGAATTTTCTTCCGTGTATCAAAGCAGGCCTGTAGCCAGCTTAAAAATTGGGGGAAGAGGTGGTGGGGCTTTATTATGACCCTGGCAATCTGCTGTCTTTTTAAGCATATCTTTAAAGTAATAGACTTCTAGAGATTTTCTTTAAGTCTGATTAATCAGTGTATTATTTTAGTTGACTAAACACAGCCGCTCTGGTTGTCCATGCCTCTTGGCTCTCTTGCGCTTTTTTACACACTCCCATCTTTGGTCTAGATTTAGATTAAGCTCTTTTGCGAAGGTAGCTACCATTTGCTTGTGGTACTTCATAAAGCATCATGTGCAGAGCTGACACTAAATTTATGGTACTTTGGCCCTCCCTCCAAGGAGTTCAGGGAGATGTATGTGAGTACACACCCAGTGTCCTTCTCTCAGCATAACTCTAAGAAATACTCCGATCAAGAGACATTCCCTGGATTACCAAGAGAACCTTCAGGGATCTATGAGGATATAAATGCTGATCTCCGGAGTGCCATTTCAGAGGTGGCCAGAAGGTTCTACAAAGGAAGCCGCAGCCTTGAATTTAGAAGAGCTAAATCGGGCTGTCATGGATAGGACATTTTGGTTTTCATTCAAAGGGTCCCGTAAGTCTGAGGCGACTTGGTGGCGTATAACAGAGAGTAGGTTTCTAGCTGTCTTGGAGTTTAATTCCCAGAAGCTCCAGCTAGCATGCTAAATGGCCAGCAATGCTGAGAGTTGAGGTCCAAAGCCTCTGGAGATCAACTTCTGCCCAGGCCTGCATTGCCTACTAAACCACAATCTTCCTGGATGCATAATAATCTCAGCAATACCTTTTTTTAAAATAAGTTTTATTTGAAATTATAATCCTAAAAAAACAAAAAGCAAACAACATCCATCATCAAAAACATCGAGCCCACTGGGTTAGCCCCCACACCCTTCTTTTTCCATTTATGATAGCTTAAAAACATATTTAAATCTATGCAAAGTCCCATTTCTCTAGCCAATAATAAAAAGAGTCCCAAGTTTGATAGAATAATCTCAGCAATACCTATAGGGGTATCTAGGAAAGAGCTAGATTCCTGGGGAATAGTTTTACAACCCAGTGTGATGTGCAGATTAGAACTGTCCTGGAGCACAGAAACCAGTGTTCAAACTTCCACTTGGCAAATGAACCTTTACAAGTGATCCTGGCCATCACTCGCACGCTCAGTCTGACCGAGCTCTCCCACAGGTTTTTCTGAAGATAAAAGCAGGGAGAAGAGGAAAGCGATGTGTCCTGTCTTGGGCTGCTTTGGACAAAGAATGCAATCAAAAACATAATAAATTGTGGCTATTCATTTGCTTGAATGGGCTTCTTATAAAGAGAGCGGCATTGTGCAGAGCTTCCCTTACGTACGTTTGTAGTCTGAACAACAAACAGTAGAGGTCTCCTTTGGGATATTAAAATAATATCCAGAAGCATGGAAAATTATGAGGATAAATAGCCCTGTGTGAAGTATATTTTGTTGCTGCTGGTTGTAAGGACATGTGGTTATTTTGCTTGGGTTCAGAGATGGGCAATGTAAGAAACGTATTTATTTCTTACTGACGATTGTGTAAATTGTGCAGCAGTTAAAAAAAACTGCAGACATAAGTTTGAATTGGGAATTTGAGAAATAAATTCAGATTGGAAAGCAAACGGAGGGGAAATCTGCACACCTACAGTAACTTCTGCGGAAAGTCATGGAAAGATTTGGGTAGCTGAAACAGACAAAGACAAAACTACACATACGGAACTGCAGTAAGAGTACACTTGCACATGACTAATAATAATAATAATAATAATAATAATAATAATCTTTGGGGATTGTTGGAGGGGCAGAAACTGTTGGTAGCAAGATGAGACTGCAAAAAATGGCAACGTTTATTTTATTTATTTTATTTGAAATATGTATACCCTGCCCTACATGTACTGAATGCCTATTAGCTAGCAGGCCATATTAAAAATACAAAGCCTTAAATGACTCAGAAATGGGACTTAGCAGACTACCTTCCACCAGCCAACTCTGAAGAGGAGAAACATAGAAACAGAGCGAGTCAGAAGGGGTCTCCCGGGCCATCTAGTCTGACCTCCGGCACCAGCCGGCTCCGCTCACGACATGCCCACCATGCCCACCAGAGAACTTCCATATGCAATGGAATGTCAACATATAACATCTGGAACACTGTCTTTGTAGTGGCAGCTGCTCTCCGGAACTCCCTGTCCCATGAGGAGGCTCAAAAATCCCATCTGTTTTAAATGCATTCTGAAAATGTACCTGTTTACCTAGGCTTTTCATAATCAGTATCATGATGTTGCTCCATTTGATGGTTTTCTATCATTTTAAATTGTTATTTCTTACTGTCAATTCTTATTGTGACATGTTAATTTTTGTTGCAGCTGAAACTGAGCATTTTACTAGTTATTTTAAATCCTTCGGCATGTAAACTTTTTAGGGATTTTGTTATTTCATGGATAGAAGTCTCGCTGATAGATAAAAATATATTTGCAATGGCTTGGCAAGGTTATTAATTAAAATATTCCATTCAGCTCTTTTCAGATGTGTTTGTAGAGGCTTACCATCATCATGGTGAAACATATTCAGCTTAACAATTCCTTATAACAATGAGCAGCTTGTTACACATGCAGGGAAGGAAAGGTAAACTGTATTGTCAGAACTGAAATGCAAAAAAGCACAGAGCAATGATTACTTTAATACTTTGCCAATTACAAAAGGTTGTTGGGTGCTAACACAGACATCATGGCAATCACAGTGTGATGAAAGGGAAGAGCTTTGTCCTGATTCCATCCCTGGAAAATAGAAGTGAATATCTTGGTGAATTGTTCTCTAGACATTTCAGTTTGTCTCTGACCTACTGGAACTGGACACCAGCAGCATCCTTAATTTTTTGGACCAAGAGTGGTTCTGTTGAAATTTTCTGTGCTGCCTCTTTTGCTAATATTGGAGGTTGATCCACTCCGGTGCTAGCTGGTCTGTCCCCATTCCTGCTGATAAGAACAGCTCCTGAAATAAAGGGGCCCTTTGTTTCCCTGCTGCCCAAGGTCAGTTTTAGGGCTTGCTTTTGAAAATGCCAACTTCAACCTTATAATTATAATTATTATTATAACATTTCTATGCCGCCCCTTGCCGAAGCCTCGGGGCGGCTTACAACACAATAAGATACATTGAAATACAATAGAACATAATAAATTACCACTAAATACAAAAATACAAAAAATACACTGAGATACAATAATATAAAATTAAAATTAACAGTATAAAATAAGTAAATAAAGAATATAGGAGGAGAAAAGAGAAGGAAGAAGAAGTTGCCCTGGCCAGATCATATATTTTAACAATTAAAATGATGTTTAAATAAAAAGGTCTTTACCTGGCGCAGAAAAACCAGTAACGACGGTGCCAGGCGGACCTCTTTGGGGAGTGAATTCCACAGGTTGGGCGCCACCGCAGAGAAAGCCCTCCTCCGAGTACTTACTCTCCTAATTTCTTTCATGGAGGGTTCCCGGAGAAGGGACTCTCCCGCAGATCTCAAGGGGCAGTCGGGCAAATACGGACGTAAGCGCTCGTTCAGGTAGCCAGGACCCAAGCCGTTTAGGGCTTTATAGGTCATCACCAACACCTTGAATTGGTGTTGAATAATGAGTCTTGAATAATGAGTCCTGATAGCCAGAGAGGTCAGTAAAGCAAACCAACAGAATGTAGTAGATGGATATTTATCTATTCTCTCTATCCCATGGATCTTTTTTTCTTTTTTTCAGGTCCTCTGTGCCACTGAAGACGCTTTGGGCTTCAGGGCTTATGGCTTGAAGGTGTGAGGAACTGATGGCAAGGCAAGAACATCCTGCATGCTTAATTGAATGCTCCATCGTTCCATCTCTGAAAGGAGCAACGGCGGTATCTAGGACAGGGACCAGCGTCTCTGAGGTCTCCATTCTGCAAGCTCTTAAGAACGTGTCCTAAGTATGCTTCAGCCTCCAGGACTTTCAGAAGATGGCAGCGCTTGAAATGGAGAAAGCTTCGAAGGACCAGGTGTGGATTTCTGCCCAGAAAGGCTGTGACTTCTATTTAGGTTCTAATATTCAAAACAAAAATTTGAGTTCTGAATTCTTTCCAAGTGTATGTTGCCCAAAGTCTTCAGTGGTGTGTCCCTGGACAAAGACAAAAAATTAAAACCCCCCGAAGCTTTTCCTGCAAGCCCTGGCATATGATCTGGCATTTCCTTCTGCTATTTATGGTGGGACCACATAATCAACCTCATTTACTTCTTTAGGGTTTCAAAATCCACAGCTGACTTAAGGCTATCAGGTTTCTATCTCAGATGCTCCATTAGTTCTCTGTGTTTCTTGTACAGGAATTGGCAGAAAATGGATTTCCAGATGTTTGGGACTTCGACTCCCAGAAGTGCCTTCCTGAATGGCCAGTGGTCAAGAGCATCTTCATTTTTCTTGATAAAATAAATTATTTTAATTTGGATGCTGTGGGTTCTGCATTGACGACTTCTTCACAGGCACCGTTGGAGGCATATTCTTTAAATTAGACAGCTCTATGCATGGCATATAAAGCCATGCATATAGTGGAATTTTTTAAAAATAAAATATTGTAGGGAGCCCTGGTGTACATAATACAAGAGGACTTGTGTTTGTCACCTTGGGTTTGGAATTCTGGACTAGATGGTCCTTGGATCCAACATGGCTTTTCTCACGTTCTTATTTATTATATTTATATCACACCTTTTCCCCTTTCTAGCAACTCAAGACAGCTTATATAATTCTCCTCCTCCTCTCAGTCTTATCCTTACAATAGCAGCCCTGTGCGGTAGGCTGGGCTGAGAGTCTGCGATCTGGGAAGCATGGGAACTGTAGTCCACCCATCTGGAGGGGACCAAGCTATGTTAGGCTGCCTTCGCAGAAAGGAATGAGCCCAGCACCAAAGGGAAAACCAAGAATTAATATAAGGAAGCCCATTCTGCAGTTAGCTACGGCTGGATCAAAGCACTTGGCATAGGAACCTTGGAATCTACCTTACAGTATCACCAACAATGACTGGCGGGGTCGGCCACAGTTAAAGGTAGGATCTCCTCCCACTCTGCTTGGCGATGCAGAGATTGAACTGCGGACCCTCTGTATGCACCCCTTCGCCCTCACTCTCCCTGTGGTAGAAACTTGGTCCCAGGTAATCCCAGGGAGGTGGCCTTGGTAGTGAAACCTTCAGCCTGGAGCTCCAAAACCTACCTGGCTTCAGCCAGTCTTCTCTGGAGAACTTACTACTTCTGCTGCTCACCCAGTGGATTTCTTATCTTAAACCCTGGGGGTATCTTTAAGCAGCTGTTGCAGTTTGTAAGCTCCTGATAGGATATGCAATTCTCCCCCTCCCTTCTTTCTTTGTCTTCAGATGCCCATCCACGTATTTTGAAGGATATTCATTTTATGCTTGTAAGGTTTAATTCTGTGATTTTGCTCCTCTGGCAAAGAACCATTTAGGTTGTCTTTGGTCATGCTATAAAGTGAGCCAGGTGTCTGTGCTGGGAGCTGCAGATTTGGAATTGCTTTTTGCATGAGCAACATCTGCTTTTGCCGCATATAGCGTGTGGCAATTCACGACAGTGCCCATCATGAGTCGGAAATTTATTTAATCCCTCTTCTTTGTTAGAAAATGCATAAATCAATCTGCCCTGAGTGATATTTCAGCCTTGCAAAATGAATCACAACACAAAGTCTCAGCAGTTATAGTAAAAGGGATTAGAACTCCAAAGAAAGGAAAAGATACAACCCCGGGGTTCCTGGGAAAGCCAAGCATCTTTCTCCCAAACATGGATCACTGGTACCCCCCCCCCACCCCACATTCCACAAAGATGGAATGCTTCTTCTACCTGTTACTAGCAATAAGAACACTAGTAGTTTGGGGGGGGAGGGTTGGCTCTGTCTTGTCCTCCACTAGAATGTAGCACTTGAGAGTTTGTGCAAAATATAATTTGGCCCTAGGGCTGAAAGAGCTTCTGCACTGCTGAGTTGAATCTGTAGGACAGTGGCTTGCATTACTTACCTGTTGCAGAACATTTGCATGAAAAGAAAAGTCTTCAGCAAGCACCAAAACCAAAATAATGCAGATGAAGACCTTATCTCAACTGGAAGAGCATTCCATGGGATGGAGGCGACCATTTGATGGTTTTCAGCCAGATCTCTGGCCACTGTGGGAGCACCAGAAATGCCTCTAACGAAGATCTCAGCGAAGCAGTATTTGCTTAAGCATTCTGGTCCAAACGGTCCAGGGCCTACCTAGCAGGTTAATACAGGAACCTTAAACTTGGCTGCGAATGGATGGAAAGCTCATCATATGAGGCATATGAGGAAGGGAAGACCGGGGAAGGATTGTGCACAAGGACTGTTTCGCCAGGAGGGAGCTCGCTGTACCTGTGCAACTTGGCCAAACACTGAAGTGTTGGAGTACACCACAGGGCTGGAATGATGTGAAGAGAAGCATCATGGGATCATGTCACATTGAACGAGATAGCTGGCACGGTGTGGTGGTGAAGAGCACGGGACTGGGACTCGGGCGATCCGGGTTCGAGTCCCCACTCAGCCATGGAGCCGACTGGGTGACTCTGGGCCAGTCACCGACTCTCAGCCAACCTACCTCACAGGGTTGTTGTTCTGGGGATAAGGTTGAGAGCAGCAGGAGAATGATGTGCGCAGCTTTGTGTTCTTTAAAAAAGAAAAAACAGGGTTATAAATCTAATAAATAAGTAAACGAATGCTTAAATGCAAATAAAACAAAGATAGCTGGCCCATGAGGGAAATAACCCAAATCTGCATTTCCTTTAGTAGAACTTTCCAGAATGCCACAAAAGTGTGCAAGCTTACAGATTCCACAGAATGCTTCATCAGCACAAAACAACAGGGCAGAAGAGAAGAAACTCATCGTGTGCTCTTTGCATTCCCTACTTGGATGAAACATTTTGAAGAACTTGGAAGCTTATGCACTTTTCTGTTATTATTTTGGCTGGTCTTAATAAAGTTATTATCCAAAGGTGGGTTCAAAAACAGGCTATCTGAATATTTAAGCTAAAGGGTATTTACAGGGTGATCTTGTGCTCACTTATATCAGTGCTAAGTCCAGTTGGATCCAGTAGGATATATGTAGCTATACAACATATGGGATCGGATGCTTATTTTTTTCTTTTAGCTATTTGAATTTAACCAAATTCTCAGGATGTCTGACAGCAATGAATAATTTTAGTATCATTAAAATTTTAGGAAATAAGATCTGTGCATTTCTTCTAACCCAGGTGAGGCAGTGGCTGTCCTTAACCAGAATCTAACTTGAAACTTAATCTAGACAAGGTCCTGTTGGTAGCGGTCCTGTTGGTAGGTGGTTCAGCAGTCCAGGTAAACAATTTTTGCCCTGTTCTGGACAGGGTTGCACTCCCCCTAAGGGACAGAGTACATAGTTTGGGGGTGCTCTTCGACCCAGAGTTATCCTTGGAGTTCCAGGTGAGTGCTGTGACAAGAAGGGCTTTCCTTCATCTTCGACTGATCTATCAAATGCGCCCTTACCTGGATGAGCAGAGCCTAGCAGCAGTGACCCCTGCTCTGGCAACCTCCCGACTGGACTATTATAACGTGCTTTACGTGGGGCTGCCCTTGAGGACAGTCTGGATACTTCAGTTGGTTTAGAACAGCCCAGCCAGGTCGCTAGCAGGGACCGCTGGATATACACCTGTAAGGCTGGTCCTGTACCATCTGCACTGGCTTCCAACTGAAGTCCAGATCCAATTTAGGGTGTTGGGGATGACTTTCAAAGCCCTAAATGGTTTAGGACCTGTGTATCTGAAGGAGCTTTTCCTTCCTCATATGCCCGCCTGCCCCCTAAGATCTGGACTGGAGGTCCTTCTTTGGGAGGCCTCTTTGAAGGGGATCAGGAGAGTGGCTACCCGGAGAAGGGCCTCCTCTGTGGTGGCACCCCAGCTGTGGAACATGCTTCCCAGAGAGGTGTGCCTGGTGCAGACACTATTCCTTTCGGCTCTAGGCGAAAATCTTTTTATTTTGCCAACGTTTTAAGATTTAATTGTGGTTTTAATCGGATTTTATTTGAGGACCTGATGCTGTGCTTCTTACTGTACTACCATCCTGAGACTTCTGTGAGAGGATGGGATAAAAAAGCTTTTAATTAGCAAGCGAGCGAGTGAGCGAGCAATATGCCCATTCTTCCAGTGCCCAATCACCCCTTCAGGTGCCCTTAGGAGACTTCCCTTCTCATTGCCATGATTTCTTCTCCTTCAGGGATTCAAAATCTTTCCCTTGTCACTGTTTCCCTTACTCTAGCTACTCCCTTGAGGCATGCCATATTTTAAGGGCGGTTCCTTGCCACTGTTTGGAGAGAGGCAGTAGCTGGTGAAGGTTCTCCCATCTCTTAAATGCTAGCAAACAGCACTTACAGCGTCCATCTGGGGCCTGACCGGTTAACCCTTTCCTCCAGCATTGCTTTCCTGTTGAAATAAATTAAAGGACTTGGAATAACCCTGCTGGATCAGACCAGTGTCTTGTTCTCACAGTGGCCAGTCAGCTGCCCTCGGGAAACCCACAAGTAGCCCATCAATGCAAGAGCACCCTCCTGCCCTTGTCCCCCAGCAACTGGTATAAATAGGCATATTACCTCTTCATATTACCGCTGGGGGTACCACATAACCATGAGGACTAGTAACCATGGATAGCCTTCTCCAGGAAGTTGTGCAATTCTCTTTTAAAGCCATCTGAACTGCTGGCCATGATGACATCTAGTGAAATCCATAGTTTTACTATGCATTATGTGAAGAAGTCCTTATGTTTTTATTTCTTTCATTTTTATACTGCCCTATAGCTGAGGCTCTCTGGGCAGCTTGGGTCCTTGCTTTAATTGGTTCTAAATCTTCCACAAATTAGCTTCATGGGATGACTCAGCTGAGCTCTAGTTTGAAGAGGGAGTGAGAAAAATCCCTCTCTCTCCACACCATGCACGATTCTATACATCTCTCTTCCTACTCATCTCTTTTCGTTCACTTTCTTTTTATGTCTAAAATGCAGTTGTCCTTTCCACAGCAGCCACACACGAAAATAACATTTTAATTGAGTTATTTTACCAGAATCCCAAGATTTTTTTTCTGGGTCCATTGTTGCTGCTCAGACCTACCACGCCATTATGCATCAGTTTACCTTTGCTTTCACTGAATTGCATGTACCGTTTTGATGTCCATTTCTCATTTTGGAGAGATCCTTTTGGAACTCCATGTAATACTTCTAGCTTTACCCACCCTAATTGTTCTAGCGTCATCAACAAACTTAGCCACTGCTCTTCTAATTCCATATCGTTTACAAACAAGTTGAAAAACACTAATCCCACTATGGATCCCTGTGGGGCCCCAGTGTTTATATCCCTCCTCCAGAAGAATTTACCCTTGAACTCTGCTCTTGGTTTTCTACTCTTTAACCAGTGACCAACCCATAAAAGGACTTCTCCTCCTATTCCATCAATGCTAAATTTGCTCAGGAGTCTTTGATGAGGAACTTCGCCAAAAGTCTCTTGGAAGTCCAAGCAGGCAATGTCTACTAGCTTACCCTTTGTCCTCACGTTCATCCCTTAATCCCTT